CCAGCCAGGGTCAGGGCCTGGTCACCGATTATGATTGGACTTTCCAGAGGGAGCCCTTGGTCCTGCCAAGCAACAGGACCAGCCGATTCCCTCCCGCCCCGCCTGACCTGCAGGTGGCGCTGCACAGGTGGGCTGGCGGTTACCTGTCAGCCTCAGCACCTGCAGGCTGATGAGGGGGCGCAGGGCGGCACGGCTGATGGTGCGCAGGTTGTTCTTGCTGAGGTCGAGTAGGGCGAGGGAGGAGAGCCCCGCCAGCGCCTGCTCCTCCAGCGTCTCGATGCTGTTCTCCTGCAGGTGCAGCTCCTGCAGCCTCTGCAAGGGAGTGCGGGGAGGGAGGGTCGCCTGCAACGGCTGCTCGCTCGGCCGCTGGAGAGCGCTGGGCTAGGCCAGCGGGGCTGACCCCCGCCAGCAGACACGGCCCGACACGCCTGACATGCGCACACGCGTGCAAACACGCGCAGGCACATGTCACGGTGCACACATCCACGCCCCGAGACCCCCCCCCAAACACACCGCCACGTACAGAGGCTGACGTACGCCCGCCGGTTCCCACCCCGACTCGCATACACATCCCCCCACACACACATCCAGAATGCCGCAAGCCGCTGCCCTTCACGCTGCAAGCCACAAGAGACCCCCCCAGTTTCCCAGGGACCCTGGAGGCTCAGCTCTTTCCACGAACCATCCCCTGGGAGATGGGGGAACATGATTCCCGCGTTACGGGGTGGGGGAATCCGGGCTTCCAGCCTCACATCCGTTTCTCAGGCCATTCCAGCCCCTCGTCTGTTGTGTCCAGGGGCTGGACAGGCGCGGGAGCTGCAGCCAGCCGCAGTCTGAGGCCGGGCAGCGGGGTCTCCGCTTGGCACTGGAAGCAGCGCCACCAAAACCCAGGGCCATCCCCTAGATACGCGCACGTCCATTGCATGTGGGCATGGGCGGGCTGGGCAGGGAATCCAGGTGACCCCACCCTAGGGGAAGGTAATGACCCCTCCATCCACAGCCACATGGCTCCCTTACAAGCCCCCTTGGGCTGGAGTGAGCCCTGGCACCGCACGCAGCCCCCTTGGCGACCGCTCCAGGCTGCCCAGACAAGCCGGGGCTCCTTCCCCCGGCCTCATCCCAGGAGCGGAGCTCCTGCCTCCCCCCTCACCTGCAGGTCGCAGAAGGTGAAATCCAGCAGCTTGGTGATCTGGTTGCCAGCCAGGTAGAGGACGCGCAGGTGCTCCAGGCCCTTGAAGATGCTGCTGTTGAGGAGGTGGATGCGGTTGCCGTTGAGGGCCAGCTCCAGCAGGTGCCGCTGGCTCCGGAAGGCGCCCGGCTCCAGCGCCGAGATGGTGTTGTTTTGCATGTAGAGGTAGTGCAGGCCCCGCAGCGCCGCCAGGTCCTGCTGGTGGATCTGCGTGATGCTGTTATCCTGCAGGAAGACGGTCTGCGGAGGGGACACGGGGTGAGAGCAATGCCCTGGCTCCACCCCCCAGGGGGGCCCTGCCCTCCCCAGCCCCCCGCAGCCTCCCTGCCCTATGGTGAGAAACAGATGCATCTCCCCCTGGAGTAACCCAGAACCTCCCTCCCCCACATGCCAGGCCTTGGCCAAGGGTCTCCCATACCAGCCCGGGCAGGGATAAAGCCCCAGTAGCTCTGTCACTAGAGCATCTGCTCAGGGGTCGGGTACCCAGTGCACGTGGGGGTTTACCCAGAATGCACTGAGGCTTATCACAGCACTGGCCTTTCCTTCCTCTCTCCTGGTTTCTCTAGCCTCGTTCGGTGGCTGCAGGCTGGCGAGGGGCCTGCCGCCCGGTTCACCTAGCGGACAGGGTGGGGCTGTTACTGCCGACGGCCCCTTCTGACCCGGTCCCCGTGGAGTCTACACCAGGAGGTAGGTGCTCAGGGCATGACATTTCCCCCAGTCCTAAGCGCTGTAGCTAAGTCGAGTTAATTTTCACGTGTAGACCAGTCCTTGCTATGCAGACTCTTCCAGCACAACATCACTACAATCCAGCCTTTCCTCTCCATCCACACCGCTGAAACCCTCGCCCCGGCTCTCAGCATCTCCATCAGGGCACCATCCTTCTCTCTAGCCCCGACAAACGCAATCTTCCCCGGCTCCTCTCCATTCGGCTGCAAAGACCATTCTCCCAGCCGGTCCCTTTGACCACGTGGCCCCCTCTCTTTGGATCCCTCCCCCGGCTCCCCCTTCTCTAGCGCATCCAACACGAGCTGCTGTCTTCGGCTGCGGGTGTGTTGAGACAACTGCCTGCCATGAACCAGTATCGTATCCTTGTTCTCCCCCACCTGTAGCCAGCTGTTGTCTCTTGCCCTGTACTTAGCCTGGGCAGGGACTGACTTTTTATTCTGTCTGTACAGCGCCTAGCACTACCGTAATAATAATGGGCGCCTGGGTTCTATCCCTGACTTGGGCTGGTCCTGC